ACCTTACCGCCACAAGGGGTCGCTTCTTGACGACATCCATATCGAAGACTGACGTGTTCCTTGATTGTCATAATGTTCTATATAGTGTAGATTGAAGTTGATGATTGGATGCGTCCATTCTCTAGTATGATCGAGGCACTCAAAGAGATAAGATGCTAGCGCGTATCGTAGTTCCTTATCGCCGAAGCGGCTGTCCGTGGGGAAAGCACACGCCACCGAGCCGTGCTGCACCGTCTTCGCCGGCATCTGACCGAAGTGCTTGGCTCGCCGATCCAAAGCGTGATACTCTCAGGTCGGGTGCATACCGATGTCTAATAACTCAATCAAGACGTTCATAAGCCTGAAAGTACAAGTTAGACCACACTTTGCTTGTGTGGCATTATTTTAACAATATGACCTGTGGCTCTATCATCGGGGTGTCGCCGGCCCCGTTCTTGCCGGGATAAACTGTACTTCTATCCGATACCTCGCCGCCGAACATTGAATGCTCCTTCCTCCTGTTTGCTTCAGCTTCTCAACTTCAATGTCCACATCAATGGTCACGCGCAACGGCTCCATCTTGGGGCCCAAGCTTCCCATTGATGTCCAAGCTTCACAATGTGACTTCTGAGTCACCGGCGCAGCATTGATGGTCAGTGACGGGGGTGCAACCTTGATGGCCGTCCCCTTAAGCTAAGAGCGCCTCCCCATCAGCACGTCACTGGCTGATTGCTACTTGCAACAACTGCCCTCAAGGTTTGCATCACCTACCTACCTACGTACTCTCTCCCTCAAACACCTCTTTCGCAAATATTCCCCCATTCCAGACAACTTCAACATCATCGTCTTTTCTTGCCATTAGGTATATCGTGTCACCCTCCTTCATCTCTTAGCCTGGTATAAGCTCAAGTAGCATTTGTGCTCATACTTAACCATCGCCTGGAATCAGAACGAGACCTTATCCATTCCAAGTACCCGTTGCAGGGACTGACTCTCGCGATGGCGGCACTCGCCCTGGGCAGTTTCTGCCGCACTCCGAGTGAGATCGTTCTCAAGATTGCCGACCACATGGATCAACCTACTCTTCAGAGTCTCATGAAGGCAAATAAGGTATACAACCGGAATTTCATCACTCTGTATATCTTTCTGTCATTGCTACTTCCATCCAAACCCGCAACTCGAGCCGGGCCCCGAACGTGGTGCTCCATCTTGTGTCCTTCTCAGCTGGCCAGGTCGCTTGTTGTCCGACCTTCTGAGTGGTTGTCCTGTGGCTGTTAGACTTCATTCCGGCCATCATATATCCTACAAATTTCTCCAGGCTCAATGACTAATTCTTTGACAATAGTGGTTCGACAAGCTCTTCAGAAGCTATGAGACCTCCATTTGCAAGGCACGGATTGCGATGCTCCCGTCGCCGACCCCCGCCGCCAACATCCTCACCTCGGCCACAGTAGAGCGTCGACGCCTGTGCGGCCAGAACACATTCCAGCGAGTTGAAGAGCTAGAGCGCCGCGCGGAACGGATCGATCGCCTTTTCGAGGAAGCTCCCAAGTACTTCCGCATAGAAGCCCCCGGCTGGCTTCCTCCCTTGTCCGGAGAGCAGCACGCACGCTTCACAAGCGCGCTGAAGCGCGCTCTCTGGCAGTGCGATATGATCGCGGACGTGGCGGCTAACGAGCCCTGCAAGCTGCTTCCCCCCGAGTCCTACACGGACATACTCTCCGGAGTATACTCCAAGAGACCTCTTACCTTCGGAAGGCAGGCACGAGACCCCTTTGCCAATGTGGGCGCACGACCGAGACAGATAGAGTACATCCGGTCCCTTCCACTCGAAGACATTGTGGGCATCACCTTGCTCGTCAACATGCTAGGCTTCGACTTTGCCAGAGCCGGCGAGCCGTCGGCGGCATCCGACCCGGCCCTATTCGAGAGAATCACCGTGTTCCAAGAGTGCGTTCTGCGTCATGGAACCTGGTTTACTTGGGGCCATGTGATGGGAGAGGGCGAATTGCACGAGATGGCAAAGCAGATGAGCCGCGCCGGCATGCACGAACTCACCGAATGGGAACTTGGGTTCCCTGGCGTCCTCCAAGGGCTCAAGATGACGCTTACAGCCCACTTCAAAGAATTGGTTGCTGAAGAGGGCGACGAGGTCGATGAGTATGGCGATATTGATAGGGATCGCATGCAGAAAGCTGTCAACAAGGTGATTTTGGGAACGGACGACGACGATTAAGGATGACTGAGTTGGCTAGACGACAGGATCTGTTTATTGATTTCATATGAAGTAAGCGTCAGAGAGAGGCGATCGAGGAGTGGCTCAGGTATAAAGAGCGACGAGTAGAAAAACGCACTCGGGAATAGCGGGCACAGGATGATTTGCCCTTAGGGAAAGGATACTGGGAGATAGGATTCGTCGTTTGAAATTGCATGAAGCGGGCGTCACATTGATCAGCGTTGGGATTTGAATTGATTCATACTACTTCAGTATCATTTTTCGTAATTTCTCGTGAAGTATAAGGTACAGGTCATCTGGGGAGTACTAGTACTACTGATACGTCAGCTCGACTCATGCGCCTTTGCGCTAGATACAGAATTACCAGTGGCCTCATCGTCTGCGTAGATGGTACGGTGCGCAATGGAAGACATGATCGATATCGAGCATTGACAGAGGGCAATGAACCTATATCGACATTAGTGAGTACCTTGAGAGAAAGCGATGTTGGGTCAGTCAACTCTAACTCCAACCAATATATATCCGGCAGGCTGCGTCTGTGACAGAGTGTTTCTCCTCTTCCAATCCGCCACACCGATGAAGAAAAGGAGCGTCTGCTCTCCAATGATTGGCAACATATCATATAATCTACCTATATGAGAAGCCAGTCCTTCACTCACGCGAACAAACACTCACTGGCTGAGCTGACTTTTACCATCTTCTGTTGTGATTCGTGATCAAAGGCGCCCTGCTTTTAATCAGGTACGCGACCAGAAGCGCGACGTCCTAATGATTCAGGTCCAGCCAGTGGCGAGGCCCCGAGGCCCAGGTACCTTATACAGGGGCTGGGGTGCGCTGGAGGTGCTATTGGTTCGCCGCTGGTCCAAGCAAATGACAGATGTTAGATCCCGATTTAGATCGATGCCCCCCTGCAAAGTCGAGACCGAGGCCTGCTCCGTACAGCACCAACCACAAGGGACGATGGAGAAAGTTACAATTGATATATTCTTGAGAAAACTCGAGTCCTGCACATTTAGATAACTATGCGCGACGTATGCGCCTAATTTTCAAAGGAAAAGCGTGCCTGTTTTTAGATCAATATGGAACTACCTTTTCCTAGGTACTGAGATGGGATCTCTCCACACTGCATCAACCCCGCCAAACTAATGCGCCCGAGACCAAGTAGGGCATGCACAGGAACTGCCATGCCGATCCTACATCATCATCATCGCAGTGCCAGTTTGACCATTCGTTCGACTCTTGTTCGCCTTTGTCTTAAAGTTTTTTTTTCTTTTTCTCTCGGTCCGGTTTGGGGGACCTTCTCACACGATCGTCCTTGTATAGTATTATCTTTCCCGAGTACCATACCCATTGGCACAGGGGTGCTCGAGTCCCAAGACCTCGGTCTTCCGCCATCATGCCCTCACTCTTTACCTCGTCGTCCTCGGCCTCGACCTCGGACCCGGAGCGTCACAGTCTGCTTGTGCGAGGCGAGGAGAAGGCCAAGCGCGTCCTTTCAGGCTTTGTCGATTTTGTCTTCTCGGGAAATATCCTTGAAATTGCTTTTGGTCTCATGTAAGTTGCTTTCGTCGAGTGAGGCCAGTACGGTCGGTGGGCCCTCAGCGAAGCTTCATGACCTTGATTCGAGTTGCCCGAGACGAATGGTCACAATCCTTCGATGTTCAAAGAAACTGAGGAAGAAAGTAATTTGTAGATCTGTTTAAAGGTAGTTTCCATGCTAACTAATACTTCGATCCCACAAGTCTCGCAAATGCATTTACCAGCGTAACACAATCATTTGTAAATGACATACTATTGCCTCCTCTGTCGGTGATTCTGCCGCTGCACCGCAACATGGATGAGAAGTTCGCGGTATTGAAGCCCGGTCGACGCTACGAAGAGCTCGATGGATACACTACAGTTGCCCAGGCGCAGCATGACGGGGCCGTGGTTATGGCTTACGGGTATGTTCATTATTCCACTGTGGCCCTTCATCATAGGTACCGCCTTGCGTTCTCTCCATCATCTCACACATCATACAGAAGCTTCATCAGTACCATCATCAGCTTTCTTTCCCTGGGCGTTTCGCTCTATTTTCTGGCGTCGTTGTATCAATGGGGCTCTAAAGACCCTATCATCAAACGTACAGTTAGATGTAAATACTGTAGGAAATTTGTAAGCGAGAAGGTATGTTCATGGTTTGCGCTCCGTGCTCGCCATCCATTTCTCTGTCGTTTCATCTCGAAGACTCGCTCGGGAGACCAGGAATACAGCCAACCAGCCACTTGCTGACTTCGTGGGTTGCGCCCATAGGCAAAACGGTGTGTCAATTGCACGAGTTGGCTAGACGGGCGCGAGGAGCGTATGCGATGAGTACTTGGATATTTAAAAAGGGGAAGACGGACGGAGACGATCGAATTAGAAAATGCAATAGGTGCCACAATACCAACTGGCGCTTCTTGGCCTATTGCAATATACCCTGCTACGGTGCTTCATTCACCAGGTTGCCTGTAGCCATATCGCTTGTTGCGTCACTTTAAGGGAAACGCTCTCTAATGTGCTTGATTTACTTTGCTGGTTGAAATAAAATTGAGGTTCGTGGTGTTGAGGGTGTTGTAAAGCTAGATAACTTCCCGAGGTTTTTTCCTCCTCCAGAGGAAAAAAATTCCGGGAACCCTTGATTGATGGGAGCTCACTGTCCGATTAGCGCAGTGGTAGCGCGCTGCTCTTATACTTAGAAGGCTTTTATGCATCTCTGTATGGTAAAAGCAGAGGTCGTGTGGTAAAAGCAAACTGAACCAAAAAATGTCCAATGCGAGGGTCGAACTCGCGGCCTCTGCATTGCCATACAGAGATGCATCAAAGCCTTCTAAGTATAAGAGCAGCGCGCTACCACTGCGCTAATCGGACAGTGAGCTCCCATCAAGGGGCGTGTGGTTTGTTGAAGGTTCGCCAAAATTTAGAATCCATATACTATGGCGCAAAAGCGGGGCACAATAACCAGCTCCAGTCAGCTTAGGGCTGGTTATTGTGCCATCACATTTGGTGGCATTGGGTATCCTGTTGAGTGAATGGTGTGTCAGTTGGCTATAGCCAACTGACACCAGGCCACCGCAGCTATCAGCGTTCACCAGCGCTTCCCGCCAATAGTACGGATGCACATGCCCTTGCGCTGTACTTCTAGGTGTGGGATCTACTGTTCCATGAATAACAACCACTGTCACTCACCTTCGCTCACGTACGCGTACAGTTTCATCCAACAATACTGTATCAATTCACCATAACTCTGCACAATGTTCTATTATGCACTCTATATAAAGCAGCTACGACATCATTGATTCGACGAACAGCTCTCGTTTTGGTCTAGTTGTGGATCATTGGCTGGGATGACCATTTATTAACCTTTGCGGATGGTCCGAAATGGAATTGACACAGTCCGTCGGTCATGCCTACCTACGGCTCACTTGGCAGCTGTTGATACTCTGTCTCGTGAACTCTTCAAGAAGTCGGACAGCAGAAGATGTCGACCTTGCGAATGGACTCAAGTAATGTGATAATTCATGCCTTTGGTGGTCAGTATGCTGGCCTCTCCCTCGTTCTGTACTGAGCATTACTGATAACTACATGTATGCAGCCACTACAACAAGCCACCGAATACTTGCACTTGCGGGCTCTTACTTGCTTTAGACCCCATCAGGTTTTCATCCTATCACTGGTTCTCAAGAGAAGCCACAGACATAGAGGACTCGACTCACCGAAGTGATCTTAGGCATCTGACTAGTCGTATTTTCGTATCTGCCGAGCAGCTTTGCAGGTATCACAAGCCTCTCCTCCATGTATGTCGCGCTGTAGCTACATGTGTTAGACGTAGAATGGCACTTGTAGATGCACACAAGCGGTTGAACTCGGAGATGTTGAGCAACCTCAGACTATGCATCGAGTCATTGACATATCACAGTAAGGGCAGGACGCATCATTTCGCTTTCTCTGGTATTCCATTGTGACAGACGCGAGGTTTCCTTTCCTTTCTTGAACAGTCTTTTCTTCGGCATGCCCCTCGATTGTACTCAGCCTGCGCCAAGACCGGAGAGTCTGCATTGCGGCCTAGTGCCTGAGTCACCCGGCCCCTCGGTGAAGACTCAACGGGCCCTGCTCCCATCGGTGTCGTTTCCATAGCTGACGTTTCATGGCCGACGAGAGGTATTCATACATTTCAAAGAGGTATGAATCTTCCGCCCAGAATGACAGCGGATATGGCACAGCGGTCAAGCAGCATGCGCCCCAAAACCTGCACAATTAATTATCTCCAGAGGTTCCACCCAGCGTCCAGTCACGGAACAACTGCATTTTTGCTCTAGGCAATGTGTATTTCCACCCGTCCCCGTCACGCTACGGCAACAGAGCCCTGCTGGCATCAAAGAACTGATCTCGCACGTGGGGACTAGATTGCTTCCAGGTTGATTAGGAGCAAGATTCTGGAGAGACAAGGGCGTTCGTTGTCTGTGACTAATAATCAGATGCTCGGGAACGCTAGCAATCCTTCGGAAACGCTAACGAGTTTCTTGGCTTCGGAGTTCGACGTTCAGTTCGAAATGGTCGGCCAGACATTGCGTCGTCTTCGTGACGCATTATTGTAGGCAGACATGCAAAGCTGGCAAAATCCATAGTCCAATCCCAGGTTTCTATTAAGCGACGCATCATCGACAGTATCTCTGGCTACCTCAGCTACCTTAGTAGGAGTAATCTACGCGAGGCACAGCGGCTGCAAGGAGGGCAACGTGCAGGAACTTCCTTAAGAGACCTTGCAAACTGCCGTTTCGTGCAATCGCAAACTCCTGCATCAATCCAGTACTACATATTATGATTACATGTAGTCAATGTAGCTATCAATCCGCAGCGGTGGAACGTGAATCAGTACTCTCTATAGGCGATGCAAGTCACTAGCAGACTGGAACAGTTGAAAAGTCGATGCAAGCTAATGAGACACATGCCGGGCCCGAATAGGGATGCCGTTGTAAGGTAGCATCTCTAACGGGGCCAGCCAATACTAAGTTTTTAAATCTCACGTACGCACCCACGTTTGAAGTGTTTGGTCCGCTTAGCCCCAAGCTGACTTTACGACTTGCGTCACAAGGGCTTTCGCATCGATATCGGTGTACTACCGTTCTCGGATGCAAGTTGTTAAATGTGAGCAGACTATACGTACATATGTAGACATGTAAGAGTCATTCTATGTAAGGTACTTATGGTACGCTCTGTATCAGGTAAGGGATGCTCTAGCAAATCGTGTATAAGTAAGAATGATGCCCGCCATCTCAGGCTCTAGGGTCAATTTGATATCCATCAGTATCACCGAGAGAAAGGCATCGACATCTCACAACAGCCTCATAGTATCTCACAAACTTCCTGCATACCAGGTCTCAGACACAAAGTATAAAACCAAAGCCATCGAAACGATCAACACAACTCCCACCACTCTATTCAACCTAAACTCAAACCCCAAACTTACACAACCCACCATCATGCCTCAGTTCTGCTCGTCACCCGCCCACGAAGCTGCCCGCACGGCCCTCGGCCTGTCCGTGAGCCCCGGCCTTGTATACCCAATATACCAACAGCAAAAGCAACACCACAAGGCGCAAGAACAGGCAGCGTCTAAGTCAACGTCGACATCCGCCGCCTCGATCTACTCACAAGACACGACTTACTCTTACGACAAGAACGATCAATACTCGGAAAAGTCGAAGCCTTCCATGTTACATCGCATCAAGAATGTCTTCTGATCTACACCCACATCTCGATAACTCAACTGGCGAGGAAAACAAGAAACACTTCGACACGACACACGTTGTTGTCCTCTATACGGTGTTCACGGGATACACTGATTCGGGAGGTTCTTTTTGTAGTCACTTATAAAAGCAATTTGTGTGGTCACTGGGTTGGAGTTTGGAAGATATGGCAGACATTAGTTCGACACAGCACCATTGGGATGTGATCTTACTTACAGTCGTTTGATACCCGTCGTATCCGGTTGATATTAGGGCTTTAGGCGTTATATACTTGGTTAGAACAAATTTGACAATCACTGATTGGACACCCTTCCGAGAGTGAAATACGAAATACTGATGTTATTGTATAGACTGTATACGGTAACTACCTGTTTTGAGACTTGTCAGCTTCCGGGAGGGTATTGCAGGGTCTCAACCACCGCGACGACACTCTTCATTCTTTCCAGAATCCTGGGTTTGTAGGGCGAGTAAATTCACATAAGTATCGGACACTATTGAACGATCAATCGAAATCTATCTTGGTAATAGAAAGGATCCAGACATCGGGTTTCTTACCTAGTCGTCCGGTCATTTGGGCAATGGAGATCTCATTTGGTGGCCCTGTGAACAGCCATTATGACCAGAGTGTTGGTCAAGTCCTGCAGGGTTGGGCAAACAGTATCATTCGTTGTTGCCTGAGAGCGACGCGTCACATTGTATCGGAGTTGGCCCAGGCATCCGGTTTGAGACCGCCAGGCGACAGCTCTCTCTCTCTCTAGGTTAGATACCTTTTACAGCACAAATATGGATCTTGCAAGAGCATAATTTCGCCTGCTTATATCCAGAGGCTGCCATATCGCATATGGGACCCAACTGTCACAGGTGAGGGTTCAAAGTCCAATGCTCAACAAGATGTCTATTGACATCGTCACCTCGTTGCAAATGGTCAAATTAGAAGGACGGGATGAATGCATAGGCGAGATTGTGGCACAGGCAAGACGGGAGTGTCCACCATGGTAAATTTCAGGGGACCTGAGGCTGAGCGTGCGCCACAGGTCTACCACCCGGTTTAGTAAGTGACGACATCCATGTCGATCGTGCCCCGCCGAACCTTCAACGGTCGGGCACCGGCATTCGAATTGAGGCTGAGTCGAGTCGAACAAAGGCCAAACGTCGTGTGTCCAGGCACCAGTCAGAAGCTTCACACTTTAATACCCATCAATATCAACGTGCATTGCCCCGACTATCGTTATTCCACTTCCCATTGCCAGCATTGCTTTCGACACTTTCGCTCTGCTCACGGTCGCTGCCGGAGCCATCGTCAATTCTTACGACTCTCACCCCCAACTCGATATTCCATGATTACAGCCCAATCGAGCCAGACCCGACCATCCATTCCATTCCATCCAGGACAATAAGGGGCAGCTGCCCATAGAGGCACGCAACCCAAGAACACCAGACAAGGCAGACCGTGATGCCACCTCCACCGCCACCGCCGCCTCCTCCGCCTCCGGGCATGGGAGGTCCACCACCTCCTCCTCCTCCACCGCCTGGAGGTTTACCCTCGCGCCCACCAGCAGCAGGTGGCGGCCGTGTATGTGGGCCAATACATTACCAACTACAGGTCTCATGCTAACCGTTCACCCCTCAGGGAGCCTTGCTTGGTGATATTCAGAAGGGAAAGGCCCTGAAAAAGGCTGTCACGAACGATCGATCCAGCCCTCTCGTTGGGAAGTCATCTGGAGGTGGTGGCGGACCACCCCTTGGCGGAGCACCTCCGATTCCCACACTGCCAAAGGCACCCGGTGGATTAGCTCCTCCTCCCCCAGGAGGTGCCAGAGCACGGAGTAATAGCGATCTCGATGGCGCATCCTCGATGGACTCAGCGCCCCAGCTCGGCGGTCTGTTCGCTGGTGGTATGCCCAAGTTGAAAAAGCGTAGCGGGGGTGTAGATACTGGCGGTAAGACGATTACAAGCATGGTTTTGAACCAGACGTCAGGAACTAACGAGAAACAGCAAATCAAGACTCCTCATACTCGGCAGACTCCGATCCTGCGCCGCCACCTCCCTCTGCACCCAGGCCACCAGTCGGAGGTGCACCAGCAATACCAGGACGGGCAGTACCCTCTCTTCCCAAAGCA